AAACCGCTTCCACAAGCCGCGCGATAAACTTTGAAAACGCGCGCCGCTACACAATAATTATAACGCGCAGCTAAGAAACAAGCTCGCGGAAATTAGAAGGGAAATGGATTGTGATAATTTGAAAATGCAGTCGTAAGCCTTGGATAACTTCGGGCACTCGCGATATTATTACACACTTTGCGCGATACTATGCAATCTCGGAAATTGTTACGAGCTTCTTTACAGTCACGAGCCTTCCGTTAATTCGAAAAATTAATACGGAAAACTCGGGCGTAGCGAGAATACCATAACGAATATATTTACCAAAGTACTTTGTTCTCTCCTAGGTCCGTGATGTTTGCTTCGTAATTATAACATTAAATGGCACGAACTCATTCGTGATCCACATGATATTTTAACGTGCTTTTCTAGTATCATAAACCTAAAATACAATCGTCTGTATACTCAGGTATTTACACATGTGTTCCTACAGGGAATAAATTAAACGAGAATTGTAAAAAATTGCATTTATTTACTGTAATGTTTGACGCACAATTTCTAGTTCGAAACAAAAATCGTGTGATACGGACATGCAATTGTAAAAATCTTGTGTGACTTGCGCGCGCGCGCACGCTGTTTTTTCACAAACGTGACGTGTAAAAGCAAGTTTTTCCACTCATCATCGTGATGAAGCTATGGAAAATCTAAACGTACGCGAAAAACCGTGTTTGCGGGCCGCGTTTATCATTTTCCGTCGCTTCTCTTTCTCGTTCGTCAGACGCGCTTCATTCTCCGTTGGATGCGCGACACCGATGCCTTTGACGTAGCGACGAACAGTCTGCGCGTTTAAGCCGCTTTAATCTTTCGTCGACGTACGTGATTCGATGCTGCCGCCGCAGCAGCCTCATCGCCGTCGAGTGTAATAATCTAAACGCGCTATACGTTCACATTTCGATTTGTGGGACTTTGACGGATGAGCACGCTCTGTGCAGTCTCGAAAATATACCTGCTGAGCGTCAAAGAGTAAGGAAGAAAGAATATCATTTATTATATGATCTCGGATGTCTCTCCTTTAATGCACAGTATCTCCAACAAACAACTTACCAGTGGATGTCTATAAAATTTCCTTTTGTGCGAGATTATATTGATTCAACGAGAAAGATGAGTGCACTTATATTGTTAGTGAAAAGAATTAAACGCGTGTCCGCAAGATACAATAAAGAACGACGAATATAAACTCGTAACGTAACATGATGTAGAAAATTATCGGAAACAAATATGAGATACGAGAAAATAAAAAACTTTATGAATATAAATATGTTAATGAGCAATAATAATAATTAATATAAAGATATTATTACTGAAAAACATATATCACTGATCCACATGATATTTTAACGTGCTTTTCTAGTATCATAAACCTAAAATACAATCGTCTGTATACTCAGGTATTTACACATGTGTTCCTACAGGGAATAAATTAAACGAGAATTGTAAAAAATTGCATTTATTTACTGTAATGTTTGACGCACAATTTCTAGTTCGAAACAAAAATCGTGTGATACGGACATGCAATTGTAAAAATCTTGTGTGACTTGCGCGCGCGCGCACGCTGTTTTTTCACAAACGTGACGTGTAAAAGCAAGTTTTTCCACTCATCATCGTGATGAAGCTATGGAAAATCTAAACGTACGCGAAAAACCGTGTTTGCGGGCCGCGTTTATCATTTTCCGTCGCTTCTCTTTCTCGTTCGTCAGACGCGCTTCATTCTCCGTTGGATGCGCGACACCGATGCCTTTGACGTAGCGACGAACAGTCTGCGCGTTTAAGCCGCTTTAATCTTTCGTCGACGTACGTGATTCGATGCTGCCGCCGCAGCAGCCTCATCGCCGTCGAGTGTAATAATCTAAACGCGCTATACGTTCACATTTCGATTTGTGGGACTTTGACGGATGAGCACGCTCTGTGCAGTCTCGAAAATATACCTGCTGAGCGTCAAAGAGTAAGGAAGAAAGAATATCATTTATTATATGATCTCGGATGTCTCTCCTTTAATGCACAGTATCTCCAACAAACAACTTACCAGTGGATGTCTATAAAATTTCCTTTTGTGCGAGATTATATTGATTCAACGAGAAAGATGAGTGCACTTATATTGTTAGTGAAAAGAATTAAACGCGTGTCCGCAAGATACAATAAAGAACGACGAATATAAACTCGTAACGTAACATGATGTAGAAAATTATCGGAAACAAATATGAGATACGAGAAAATAAAAAACTTTATGAATATAAATATGTTAATGAGCAATAATAATAATTAATATAAAGATATTATTACTGAAAAACATATATCACTGAAAAAAAAAAATGAAATTAATGAGAAACTAGTTATATAATGAGTTATTGTAGCATTTAAATTGAGATGAAGCTTTTAAAGAGAAAGAGAAAAAAAGCTCGATACAGAAAAGATGAAAAGCGGGCGAGCGAGACGAAGAGGAAATTGAGAAAGATAGAAGAGGAGCAACAATCTACAATAGCTGTTCTCCCTCTCATCCTTCTTCGTATCCCTGCCATCGTTCTTTTTCTTTGACTTTGCTCGTGATACCATTCCCAAGCTTGCAGCGGGCTATATAGCAAACGGGGCGGAGTGAAAGAGAGACAGGCGGACAGGGAGAAAGGAGAGCTATACAGAGAATAGCGTTTATTATTAGGTTGCAGGATTCACAGAGAGAGGATCCTGCGAACACGATGTATACGAGACAGTGACGCGATTGATCGAATAAACGGAATGCGCGATGCTCCCGATGCGTTAATCCGAGAACCGGTATTTCGAAAAGGAGAAGAAAATACGGCGCGTCAGCACTCGCGGCTATGTGTGTGCGCATTATGCGATACGCATTAGATTGCGCATGTCTAGATGCGAAGCACGCATCGAGCGAGGATCACGAAGATTAGAATGTTCCACAGTAATCGAGAATTTATGTATTATGCATCGGAATACGATAGGAGACGTGACGCAAAAAAAAAATATATATAACGAAAAGGGAGAAAGAGAGAGAGAGAGAGGCATCTTCACGGAAGAGCCTAGTTTACGATATCGAAACCGCGCGTTGCGCGCTTTCAAGGCGCAACCCGTTAATGCATTTTACGTCACACATTATCAATTAATTTCGTTACCAACTCGCCTTCTTGATAGCTCAGGCTTAATTACGTAAAGCAGTATTAGCAACGGCGAGCCAAGTGTTGCGCCCGACCTCGCCCGTCGTGAATTTTATATCAGGCATTAACGCGATCGTCTCTTTTTCTCATTTTTTTTTTTTTTTTATTCATCGTCTAATCTTCGCCGCGGCTTTTTCACGCCTCGCCGTTCAAAATCTGACAGTGTAAATGCGCGTAGTTTTGAAACTTCTCGGGACTAACTTCGGGACTTTCGTATTCGCATTAACGGCATGCGGATGCGAATGCAGGTAAGTTTGTGTGCGTGTGCCTGCGTCGGTATGTATTATTGCTAGTTACATGATGTAGTTGCTACAATCTCGTAACTTTGGGCATGAAACTTCAAATAGAAATTAAACATGAGAATGCTAATGATATATTAGAGCAAAACGTTTCTGTTAACATCGGTACATGAATACATCCTCTTTATCAGTTTTATACGAAATCTCTGCATTTTTCATGTAGAGCACAATCTGATTTATATAATTGATGATTTCTACATAACTATCGAATAATTGATTTTATACGCAATTATCGAGATATAATTACGATTGTAAATGTAACAATAACAAGAAAATGCTATAATCCAAAATTTTATATCCGATCAAGTCTTAAAATATTAAACTTCCCGATAATGATAATTAGTCCAGCTTATTTATTACTGACTTCATCGTTTTACTCGATTAGACGCTTCGCCGATTGCGTCATTTACGATAGATTCTTAAGTCGAGTGCTGAGATGCAGTCATCTCATCGCAAGAAACTCTTATACAGTCTCGCATTTATAAAAGTACCACTTACTTATCTTTGAAATATAATTATTATAATGATCGTCATCAGATTTCCTGCGTCGTTCGCATAACAGTGCTTCAGTGTGACAAGAATACTGATCTTAAAGTCAAAACAGATTTTGAATCACAGAATAAACAAAATATTCGTCATTCTAAAAAAACCGATCTCGCAATCGAATTGCGAGATATCAACTAACGATCCGTAAATTAAAAAAAATTCGAAAAATTGTTAATCATATAATTTTCAATAATCAACAATATTGTATTTGTTAATAATTTCCATTTCGTTATTCACGAAAAATGATTAAATAACCCAAAGTGTTAAATTGAAATTGAATAAAACATCGTATAAAAAAGAAATTTCCAAATATTAATATTCAATATTTCAAATGCGATAATTTGCGATAATATTTCATCGCGATAATCATTATTAGCTGTTCGTATTTGTTTACAGAAAACAGCATTGTATTCCTGCATGATCAACAAAATTCAAATCTCAAATGAATTAACGGAACACCGTATAAGTAATAAATCCACTGTGTGTATCATCAATATTATTATTATCGTCGTTGCTATTGCTTTTTACTGAATTCACTCGAAATCACTAACAAATCGATGCATCGTTCAAAATAAGGAAATTATGAGCGTGTTATTTTATCAAACAGGAGTTTCTCCTAACATAAAATCAAATATCACGAAGAAAGGGAATAATCGCGTAAAATAGCATTTTCTCTTTATTGACTTTGTTCTCTATTGATTTTAGAATGAATAGAAACGGGACAACCATGTTAACGAGATTTTCGCGTAAAGAGTCGGGTTACAATGTAAACATTTACGCGGAATCAAGCGGAGGCAGCTGACGTGCAAAAAAAAAAAAAAAAAAAAAAAAAAAACGCTCGCGGCGAACAAAAGAATCTGACCTTCGAATTCTTTAGGCGCGACACAAACCATCTCGATGTATAAAAGAAATCACGATGAGATAATACTTTATGTTAATTTATAGAGATACTTACCCCAATGGGCATGCTGACGACTGTCGACGTCCCGACGTCGTCTCCGGCGGTATCCTCCTGACCGAGGTCACTAACTAGACAAAGCCCGTGCACATCACCCATGATTCTTGGCTGGGGCGTTTACGATGAACGGTAGAAACAACTTATCCGTCACACTTTCCGTGCCGACTACGGGGCGGTGCACGCACACACAGGAGCGAGATAAGAGAGAGAGATAGAGAGATAGAGAGATAGAGAGAGAAAGAGAAGAAGAGGACAGAGAGAGACAGAGAGAGGAGAACGCGGGCGGATGACGTGAACGGCGACGACGACGACGACGACGACGACGACGGCGGTGGCGACGGCAGCAGCGTGATGGAGTAGTAAAGGCGGTTGCACCGGGTGCCACGACGATCATCGCGTCATGTCTCCGAATGCGTGGCGGCCGGCCGCGGCCGCAAACGACAATCCCGAAGCTGCATTCCCCGTTGTAAGACCGCTCCTGATAATATCGCTCTTGGCTGCTTCCTCTTCGTCCGAACTCGCCCGGCGAGTTCGCCTCCTCCTCATGTGTCGCGCGCGCCCGTCCGTTTCGAGTTCGCGCGCCGCGATTTCACACGTCGCGTCCCTTACCCCCCGCGACGAAACTTTCGACGGCGTCACTGTTTATTATCTCTCTATTCTCACTCACTGTCCAAGCATTTTTCGCACGCGCGGCTCTCACGACGAGGTTCGCACTGCTTGATATATACACACGACACGACGAAGGCGCGTCTACCTCTCACAGTGACACGATGAGCTGCGGAGAGCGAACTGTGGTCCACTGCACGGACTCGGGAGCACGGACGACGCAACACGATGGCGCCACGGCAGAAGTACGACTGACAGCGCCGCCGTCTCACCGCCGATGGCGACGCGCGGTACTACGCCACACCGAGGAGGGAGAGGGAGAGAGAACGAGCGACGCGTATGTGGATAGCGCCGCGATATATACATATATAAGAAGGCGTCGAATACGAGCACGCGTATACTGTGTGCCTCACGCGAATAGGCGGTGTCGCGATCCCAGGGCCGCACTCGATCTTTCTACGAAGGATTGAACACGCGGTTACGTAGACTCGCCATGTGTGTGTGTGTGTGTGTGTGTGGCGAGCTAACGATAAGTCATACGCATTTCCAAGAACAAGAGACGCTTGATTTATGCTCTCGATCTCTTTCGCGAGCCAACGCGATGATGCTACTTTCGTCCGATTCGCGAGTTTGATAACAAACACACGTATCACACGCATCGTATATCACGAAAGAACGATGCGATAAAGTATACATGGCGACGATTCGGAACGTACACTCCCGAATTTCACGCACTTCATACCCGTTGCCCGTATCACTAACGGTCGTCGAACAGCTTTGATCATCGGACGAACGATCGTCCCGAGATACGTAATTAAACACGGTTGGCCGGCAGTTTTTGAACACTATCCGAGGAAAGCGTACACTAATACACATTGCACGAAGATTCACGATAACTCTCGCGACGGTAATAAAGTCTTTTCAACTCGCGAATGGCGGACGCGAGTTAGACGCGCGTTATACGTCCGCCATGATACTTTCGTGCATTTTAGGCGCGCATTTCACGCGGTTTCGTAACCAACTTTAAAACGAACTTGTTCCAACTATATTCGCGTCTTCGGTCGAGAAAACGCTAGAGATGCTTCGAAGCATTAACCAATCAGATGCATTGGTCAATCAAATGCTTCGAAGCTTTTTTAGTGTCTTCCTGACCGCAGCCTTTGACTCATTTTGATATTAATCAAATGAGAAACTAAATGAAAGAATATTGTGTTAATTATAATGCGCGATTTTATAGTCTTTTATTAATTTAAGCATAATTAATATTTTATTATATTATAAACAGTATACAATATCAATACGTATCGATTCTTGAAAGATTGCGATTCTTTAAAATATATAAGACACTCAACGTTTCGCGACGTGTCACGTCGGAGGTCGGAGTCAAAGCGATTTTGCTCCGCACTTTTCGCGGTACCTTTCGTGTGCTCGTGCGAGAAAAAAAGGGAGAAAGTGATGGGATGGGAGAGGAAGGGAGAGTCGTGCGTTAATAATCGAGCAAACTAACGTGAGTGCGAGTATCGCGAGTGGCGAATAAAGTATCGCGCGATCGTGCTAATCAACGCGAGTGTGATTAATACCACATACAGTATTCGCGTCGCGTCAAAACTTCCGCCTAAATGATCGCCGCCATTATTTTCACGTACGAAGTGCGTCGCGTGCATAATCGGACATCGAACGGGAGTGGATTGAATGGTACTGTCGGCCGACGACGAGGGCCCGTAACGTGTCAATTAAGGTACGCATGTTCGTGACCGTTCGTTTACGTTATTCGACTCGAGGTAAATATATACAAATACACGGTCGTTAGACAATTGGCCGGCGCGTATCGCAATGTAAACATTCCGATCCACGGTATCATGCGCAACGTAAATAAACGCCGGAAGAATTCTTTCGCTCGTTTATATATGCGAGTTATTCGATAAAAACGACGCGATAAATTCGCACGCTACGGCAATTCCCGAAAGAACTGCTCCAAGCGAATATCGTATGTTGCGAGAGTGAGATGAACGAGGGATGCTGCTGAAGGATCGAGGATTGAAAGCGGCTTCCGGTTGTTTGTGGTTTTCGGCTCGTCGACAATGCTGCATATTGCGGATTTCCGGTTTTATGTACAGCGGAGGAGAAAACGGTGAGTGTTAAATATTAATATTTTCAAGTTTCTTGCAAATACAATGTTGCAGAGAGAGAGAGAGAGAGTAGATCTTACATTTCTTATTTTTTATTAAAGTAAAAATTACACAGTCAATGTAACTAAAGGTTGGAAAATAATAATTCATACAAAAGAAAATAATATTTATTTATTATATAATATAAATAATTAAGTTGTATTAATTATTGGACTCGCTCTTTTATTACATTAATTATACATGTAATTATAAAATATTATCATTTTCAAAGAGTCTTTAATGTAGATATTCTATTATTTACTTGTGCGATAAATTATGTTCAATTATATAATCAAATGATCGTGTTACATAATTTTTATAAATCAGTTTCTTTTATTCGTTACTTAATACGCGCATTTTTATTTTTGTTATATTCGAATAATAATATATCGTTCTGACTTCAAAAAGGTAAGCGTAAATTATAAAGACAATTAGCCGTTGGAAAGAGAACGTTTTGAAAACAAAGAAGCAAGTGCAATAATCAATTGTGATGATGAATGAGACCAACGAAAGTTCTCTTCGCACCATTTCCTGTATTGTCTCACATCTCTCTCTCTCTCTCTCTCTCTCTCTCTCTCTCTCGAGCAATGATTAATTGTACAACTTAATAATTATATTCAAACGGACACGATAGGAGCGAGTTTTACTATCGTCCCGGTTTAATGGACGATTCTCAATTATCCAACAAATGATATGAAATATTAGATTAGAATGACGTGCTATCATATTTTTTCATATTTAATACGATATTTAATACATTTATATGAAAATAGTATTTATGCAAGCACATTATCCCTTACATTATCCTATCATTTATCCCAAACAAAACTGATTTCTTTGTAAAATAATAACTAACGAATAATAATATAATAATTTATAATAATACTTTCTTTTTATAAAATTTTAATAATTTTAATAATAAAATATTGTTTTTTTTTTTTATTACTTCTCTCATTAATGATGGAAAGAATAATTCTTTAAGTATATATAATTTAAAATTTATTGACTAGAAAAAATTATATGAAAAAAATATTTCTGAATAATTATTAAAAAATTACAATCATAGTTTTAACATAAAAATTTTAGGCCATTTAGCAATATATGTAATAGAGGAAGAAAAGTATTTGTTTCGAGGATTATTTTCACAAAGTGCGTAAAGGTAAGTAAATTTCAATACGCAATATCAATATGCAAATTTGCAAAATGTGCTATATCCATTCGCGTTCCCTTCCACTTAAGGGGTTAAATACGATTGCCCGTGTAATCCCTTCATCGAGATTCATCGTTTTTGCCTCGACAGTTGCGAGCGCGTGCGCGTCTATTACACACATAATTTCGTCGGTCACGTCGGGGTAAGAAAGGGCAGATGTATCCTCGGGTGAATGCGGCCCTGCGGGATGTAATTGCCGCCACCCTCCAGGTTTCATGTCACAGGGCCGGCGCGACCATAATTCGTCGTCGATCGCGACGATTGCGGCGACTGATTGCGAACGCGATTTAACCGAGGACGGACGGGGTGGCCGTATGTCTGTCTCTGAAACATACCTCGCGCTCGTATAAACCGAGTGTTAAATTGCGCGCTTTAAAACGATTTACGTTCTTTTTTTACGCATACGGGATTTACGCGCGCGCTGACCGATTTCCGAGTGGCATCCTCGTTATGATTATGCGTGTTATTCGATCGTTACGCGCGCATTCTTGCATGTTATTCAATAATGTGTTTGGCAATTTTGTATCAAAATTAAAAAAAATTAAGATGATGTATTTTTCTTTATAATGTATTTTGAAATAGACTCTCTTAATATGAAATTACCATACATCATAAATTGTTATAGATATATGTATATACAATATGTATACTGATACAAAGACGATAAAAATTTGGTAAAAGCTATGTGAAAAACGCGATGCAGCATCGTTTGTGACTGCTTTACAGTCAGATAAGTTCTCTCATAAAATTTATTCTCAAAATCTTAAATAACATACATGTTGAATATTTTTTCAGAATTTTATTCCACACTATAATAGTAAAAAGTTTTTCGTACAATTGAGAAACTCGAATCTTGTAACCGTGAGAGAATACATGAAATAAAATTTCGGCAAAATGTATCACACTACAACACCCCACACAACGACGGCCCTGTATTTCGCGGCAGGCATCATCTGTCCTTTTTCCGCGGTATTACGCGAGTAACGTGTACACGATGCGCAGATGCTAATTGATAGTAATGCGCGATAATCTCAAACAATTTACCGAACTAGAGCCGTGTTTGTGTTTGTGTGTTTCGCGCCCTCCCTTCCTCCTCTTCTACCGCCAGCATCACCGCCACCATCGCAACCTCCGTTACCATCACCACCACCATTCGTAACGCAAATACAACCAGCACGCGCGATACCCGTTCCATTTTTCATTAAAATTCAGAGAAACTTCCGAGGTTGTTGCCAGCATGCGAGTTTCGAAACTACACCCGCGCCCTTTGTCCCGCGAAACTTGGCAAAATCATTTACATTAAGTACTCTCACTGCCGGGATAAGGCATGCATTCGTAGTTATTACCTAACTGTATACAATCTTGCCTCGCCTCGTACGAAAACGGGCGTGAAACAACGTAGCAAAGCCCATCGTCTACGCGCGTCCTTGCAATTGAGGGGTTGTGTGTAAGCTAAAACGGCGTATTTTTATCGCTTTCTCTCACTTCACATCAATCGTATATAGTGGCAGACATTCTCTTTATCTTATTTAACAGTGTCGTACTCCGAGCTTAAACCTGAATGGCACAATGTTATACTGCTTCACTGAATCTCCCACGTCGACAAAGGCAGGGATTGTTACCTGATTTATGTATTTTCTTTGTGTTCGAAAAATCTCTTAATTACAAATTGCGTAAGCACCGTTAGCTTTGTATAAAGTAAACGAGCGTGACAAAAGAGAGATCGTCGAGACAATTTATATCGTCACGGTCGAGACAATTATGCGCAAAGTCGAGGAAAATTCTAATAGAAATCTATATTTATTTTTGTGGAAACGCACGCTTGTGCGCAATACATATCGTCGTCGCTCCATGCTCTCGACGTTACTTCCCCGTCTCCATATGATTCTTTTTCACGAAGCCTTCGAAGGACGAGGGTGAAATTGTAACACCGGCAGTGACGGCATGGAATCCCATCGACTGCCAAGCGCAAATTCGAGATTCCGGACGGTGCACTCGCGATTTCTCACCCGCTCCGTTAACTACGGAGTTTTCAATAGCGGCGTGCGCTCTTCGAATTCTTCCAATGTCAACAAACTTTGGCGATCGAAAATCTTCAAAGTCTGACCTGACATTGGACATTTCCCAACTTTTCAAAAGAGTTACCGAAATTTTCGATGCTATCGGAAAGAACGATAAAATCAAAAGACTATTACGGGCGATCTCGCGTCTCTTTCGCGCTATCAACATCCTCGCTCGATTTTCGAAATTGTCGAAATATTCTCGAGTTGGCGAGTTTATAAAACTCGTGCGCGCGGCGCAACATTGCTCGTCGACAAATCGAAACTCGCCCATCCCGGTCTCGTTTCCATCGCTACCTCGATGCGCTCTCCGTTCTCGAGAGGATATCCGAAGCCACCCTGCCGAGTTCTCCGGCATACACCCACTTTCCGCCGACGGAGGACGGCCAGGGTTGCCTGGCTAAGTCGCCAAAAGCTTGCACTCCCGGTGGAATTCAACCGCCGTCATGCCTGAGACCAGGCGGGCGTATTGCGTGGCGTCCCTCGGCGTTGCCGATGCACTTCCATCCGCCGGGATCGTGCTTCGTAAAATTGGATTTGCGCATGGCATGTAGACGATTTGTCATACCGGCTGGTTACATTCTTGCAAAGACTCCACCGGCGCTCGTAATATCTCGCTCGATGAACTCTCGCGTGACGATATTTCGCGGCACTCGCATCGGCAAGCGATCTCGTAATTGTGATTGATCGCCGACGCATCGCCGTGCATATAAAATC